CCCATAGTAAAACCATTTTTGTTTTAAATTGGGAAACTTATATGAAAATGAAGTCTTTTATTTCCAAATTTTTTTCCTATAATTCTCTGGATCTAATCAAGAATAAATATGAATATTCTTATGATCGAACAATGCATGTTCTCTCTCTTCGTTATCAAGATTTTGCAAGTTCAAAATAAATTTAAAATCTAACGATGGAATGAAAAAAATTATCAATATTTTGAATATTTAGCATCAAATGCAGACTTAAAGCTATTTATGTTGTATATGGGGGTGTTTGAAGGTTTGACAAGCCGTTTGAGGGAAATGTGAACAAAAATAAAATTTTTTTAACTTTTTGACCGCCATGTTGACGTTTGATCAAACCGCTTACGTTGTTGGTTAACACCGGACAATATTGTCATGACAACAGAAATACATGCACACTTTTTCACTAGTGCATGCATACTTTTCCAATTGTCTCAACCACTCTGCCAGCCAAAAGTAGTGAAAAATGTGGTGAAGAAGCGGGTTTCGTTCACTTCAAAATTGGTGACAAATCTGGTGAATTTTGTATGGGCGGCGTGCAGTTTGTCACCAGTTTCCCCCTGTACATGAGAGCCTTGCATCACTGTCGCACTCGTTAGGAAAACATATGGCTGCTGAAATTCCTTCAGTTCATGTATCCTCTTTGAACTGTGGGAAAAGAAACTAAATATGTTGCGGCACAATGTCTTAATGCTTTTCGGCAATTTTTTACAAACGACCAAAATTTTACTTTGCCTACCAACCTACCAAATGAAAAAGAAGCGACAAAATTTGGTCGGAAAAGGCGAATTTGGCAACACTGGTACCCATGTTGTTGTTGTTGTTGTAGCGGCTACAACAACCCCGCCCAGGACGGTTGGTATCTCAGTCGTTGTCGTCAAGTTCCACTAACGGCAACCAGCGTTGCCATTTTAGCCGTTTTCCGGCTAGATTTAGCCGGTATTGATAGCAACTAGCCGGAGAAAATTCGATCTAGCCGGCAGCCGATTTGTTAGCCGGTTTGTAAAAAAAAGTTAGCCGTTTTTAGCCGATTTTACTATTTGCCTAATTTTCAGGTGCAAAAAGTAAACAAGTTGTTCGAAAGCAATAATGCAGACCCAATGAAGATTTTTAATGAACTCAATGTTTTACTTTCGCATCTATGCTCCCTAGTGGTTATTAGCGCGGACACATTTGATCCTATATGCTCCCCGTTGGAACCATACCTTGCTCCATTTCCTCAGTTTTATCACAGTTTTGAAGAGTATTTAAAAACAAAAGTAAGCACAAACGCTTTTGACCACGAAGCCGAGAAAAAAAATTCGAGAAAATGGTCGCTATTTTATTATCACTTTAATAAAGGAATTACGCCCAACGCCTCCCTACAAATATTGCCACACTAAAAAAATTGACTTTTTTTCGGTTGGAAATGTATTAAGAGTAATTAAACCAAAAGTATTTGTTCAACTACAGCAACAAAAACACAAATATAATGCCGACGAAATAACATCCAATGGCAACGGTTAACGTTACATACCTTGAGTAATTTAGACTCAACTGTAAAATTTTGGGCCGAAGTTTATCAATTTCGAAATGCCCTAGGAGAAAACCCTTTTTCTGACCTTTCCAACCTAGTTTTTAGTTTTCTTGTTTTGCCTATAAGTAATGCAGAAGTAGAGCGAAAATTTAGTTCAATGAATATAATAAAAACTAAGCAAAGAAATCCAATGTGCGTTAAAACGTTAAACGCTATTTTATATATAAGATACGGTTTAAAACGTGAAAAAAATGCTGCCATAATTTTACTGTAGATGACGATCTCTTAAAATTAATGAATTCAGGTGATATATACAATAGTGATTCATTTGATGATGAGGAATATACACTCGATATAAATTAATGGTGTTAACTAGTCTTTCGTTTCTTGCGATTTATTTAAATAAAGCATATGAATTTTCACTAAAACATTTTAGCCGTTTTTAGCCGCTTTTTTTTGCCAATCTAGCCGGTCGGCCCAAAAAGTTCTGGCAACACTGACGGCAACCCTAGGAACCGTGCAGCTTCTGTGGGGTTGGTCCACAGGGACAAGGTCGTTAGGGTTGTCGGGTTTTCCGGGCATGCGGGGCCGTTTGCACCATGTCTAGTTAACGGCCCTTAGGGCCGGTTGTTCAATGTCTGATTAGCACTAATCGGCGGTAGAAGCTTCGGTTAAATAAAACGACTGCTTTATCGATCACATGTTATATGTATGATGTCGAAAACGTCGATAATGATGTTTAACCGGTAAGTAGTGATAACCAGACATTGAACAACCGGCCCTTAGTCCTCAAATTTGCACTTCATACCCAAGTATAGCTGGCAGCCCTGGATCTAACGTCTATTTGTTCGCAGCTTTGGTTACAATGTTTTTGACGTTGCCTTTTACTTCCTGTAATTTTAATTCAGCCCTGTTTTCTCTACTAAAATTTTCTATTTAGTAGTTCATTAAACCATTTAGGACGAACAGCTTTTTAAATCCATACGTCTTATATGCATATGTACATATGTACAAATAAAAGTATTTAAATTTACCATTAAATTAAAAGTGTCGAATATAAATTGTTCCGTCGACGTCGCTTGATTTTATTGGTCATTGGCTACGAAAACCGAGACACAAACAAAACGAAAAA